ATATATAAAATTTGCATATCTTACCTAATCATTTTTTTTTCATTTTCCTGAAGTTGTTCTATTTGCAGATTCAAGGATTTTATATGATCAGTATCTGTCTGCTCCTAATTTGAAAATATGTATAATTAAATGTAATACTAAAATAATAATTAAGATTTTTCGAAAATATAATGCTTCAGCAAATGGGACTACTGACAATTTATTTAACACGAAATGCATATATGTGTATGTGTGTATGATAATAATTCAATTTAATAAAGGTATAGGGAGCTAAGAAGAACTTTTCGGCTTGTATTGTGAATACATGGTACAGTATTACATGCTTTTGCTTAATAGATAATTTGATCTCTGAAATTTGTCATGCTCTATGTTTAAAACAAATCGGAGTTTTCTGGCTGCATTTACACACATATTTACCTGATTGCAGATACAGCTGAAACAGTACACAAAATTTTGTCATTAAATACTTTACAATACAAGATATAATGCAAAATATCATATGTTAATTCTCCACATGGTCCAACATTTTTCACTACTTTCCTAATCTAACAAGATCACTAGACCTTATCATATTTTTTAAAAGAATTTTTGGATTCTACTTCACTAGAACTGTATCATATTTTTTAAAAGAGAGTTTTTGGATTCTAAAAATCTAAAAAAATTGTAATACATCTTTTCAACATTCAAAAATACAATTTTACAATATGATCCTAAATTTTTTTGTATGTGTTCAAATTTGAGGCAGAATTCAAAATTTAAAATTCGCCTGGATCTTCCTGGCTGGACCACAGAAGATTAATTGATAATATGATTAACTTACTCTGGAACTGGAATATCTTCAGGTTGAATCTCAAAGAACTTGATACCATCAAGGCTCCAAATGTTTTGCTGACGTGCACGACGAATCACCTCTAATAATCCTCTAATGTCACTTTGTAGATTCTCTATTTTTTGTTGTAAATACTCCTCGTCCTTTTCTAGCTGACTAACGCGATTTGAAAGAGTATTTAAAGCCTATAACATAAAGATAATACATCTTGATTTTACGATGAGATTACTAAACAAAATTAGATGATCTCTCTTGCCTTTTCCGAATGATCAGATCTTGTTAAATTATCCATGACTATTTGCGACGATTGTTTTAGTTTCTCCTCTAGTAACTTAACTCTACTACACGCAGCTTGCTCCAAATCTTCCACTGCATGTACTAACATCGCATTTTGTTCTCCTAAGTCTTTGATCCAGTCGCTCATCACTTGTAACTTCATCTACAAAGAAATTTTTTGATAAACTATTTCAAACACAAATAAAAAAATAATTACTAAGCGGCAATCAAAAGAACTTAAAGAGTATATATATAAAAAGTATAAACAGAATTGACAATAAATACAAACTGACAATAACAAAGCTACTGCTTACAGAGACTCGGTCGGAATCATCGATAGATTCCTGATCAATTTTTTCGATGCGGGTCTCGTACAATTTGCGGAATTCATCGAGGATACGTAGACCCTCGGTCTCGCCGTATGACTCGCCATCATCGACTGTTCTACAGTCTGGGTCTCGTTTAACTAACGTCGGGACGTCACTCATGTCCGTAGAACTTGGCAAACTGAAGCTGACCGAGTGCATTGTTTTCCGCGAGCACGATTCCCGAGCGATCATTGACTGACGGATTTAAGGTCTCCCTACACCTGGGTTCGACGAGAACTCGAACTAATGTCAACGCACTATCTCGCCATTTTAGCGATCGCGACGTTGTCCATGAGTGACAGGCGTAACGAGAGTGGTGCTCCGGTGTTTACCCTGAAGTATTTGCTAGAGGTCCGTGATATAGGAACTCTAGTGAAAACAGCTGGTAACAGCGGAGCATTCATAATAAATAGTTTCTGATTGGCGGCCACATGTGCATTCATATGAGAAATTGAAAATGCCATTTTCTTATATCATAAGGTCGATTGTGTGCCTTGAAACGCGAAATAATTACAAAGGTAAGCAAATTCACTGGATAATGAAATTAATATTCGAGTGAATTTGCTCACTTTTATAATTTTCATCCCATTTCAAGACACATTCCACCATAATCGATTCCCATGTTTGAATCTATATACTTTGAAAGGAACAGAAAAAAAAGTATTAATAAATAAAAATAAACTGATCACAGATTAGGGACAACGAATAATCAGAAATATAATAACTGTAACTGTAATATAACTAGAAATTTCCTTTAGCAATTGATGCTGATTAATAATGCATACGTTTGCGCGATCACGATGCAGACTGAACGATGAGACGCGCATGTTCGGTTCGGGGTTCGGCTCGTCTTCCCTTCTACAATAGTCCGTCCTGCAGTTCGTGGAGCGCGTTCGCGGGGTACGGGTGGGTACGGGGTACTCGGAGTGCGAGCCGGATAGACGCGCGACGAGGATGGGATTGCCGTGCGGCGACAATGAATCGCGTTGCGAGTCGCGTCCGCGGCCGATCGCGTAGCTCAGGTGCGATCGTAGAACCGAAAATAAGGTGGGCCGACGTGAACGCGGCACTGAGGCGTTGCCGTCTCGTTCTCTGACAAACGTCGGTCCTCCCTAAAGAGAAAAAAAGAGAAAGAGAGAGAGAGAGAGAGAGAGAGAGAGAGGGAAAGAAAAGAGAAAGAGAGGGAGTGAAAGAGGGAGCCCTCCTCTTGGTGGAGAAACGAGACGCGAGGAGATCCCCGTCGCGCGAGCTGCTTTTTTTGGCGAGCGTCGCCGACATGAGCCAGACGAGCCGTGGACGAGCGAGTCGCGTTACCAGCCGCACGAACTGCCCTGTCAGCTGATCGTTTATCGCACAACGAAATGTGAGGTGTTACCTATTTATCTACCTGTCTATCTACCTACATAACGTCAAACCAAAACGTCATACTGCTTCCGCGCATCGCGGCTCCAATTCACGTCGCTCACGTCTCTCCCCGCGTGCAAACTGAGACTGCGAGCGTGACTGCGCGCGCCAAGTGAGACAGGCGGGAAGCACAGGAACACCTGGCACCGGTTAGAATTTACATGGGAATATGGGGAACAAGAATAGCTGTTGCGTCTACTCCAGTCCACAGGTCGGACGCAAGGAGGTAGGGCCTGAGAGCACTACGCGTAATCTGGAGGAACACTTGCCAGAGGGTGGAATTAGCGTTAATAATTTGCAACATATCAGTGAACGTGAGCCGGAGGACTGTGACTCTGATCCGTCGTTGCACCCATGTGCAGGAACTATCTTCATGGAGCGTTCCAAGCAAGCTATTGAGAGTGAGTATATCTTGGAGATTGGCAGAAAAGATTGGCTTATGATACATATTTGATACGATCATTTCTGGTCTCTCTTTTTTTAGATGGCATGGTAAGAAAGAAGAGTCAACATCAAATAGCAGATACAAGGCCTTTGAAGAAGAGTAGTAGCTGCAGTACAATATATTTAGATGACAGCACGGTTTCACAACCTAACTTGAAAAATACCGTCAAATGCGTTGCCTTAGCCGTTTATTACCATATTAAGAATAGAACTTCGCAGCGACAGATTGATATATTTGATGAGAAACTACATCCATTAACGGTAATATGTCAAATTGTACAAGAAGTTGTCAAGGAATTATTGGTGCTTTCTAGCAAGAGATACAGACGTAACACAATGATCATTTCATCTTTGTTTAAGGCTGATATATTCATGTGTTGTTGACAAACTTTTTAAACAAGTTGTTTGAGACATAGGAAAGATTTAAGAATCTCTCTGTTCTATAATCAAACAAACAATCAACAGGTTTGAAAAGTTTTATCCTACGATATATAAAATATTAGACTAACATTGGCAAACAACAAGGATAAATGTCACTGTGTTACACTGTGTCATCTGTCTCTTGCTGTAAAAACATCTATTAACACCTATATATTAACTGTCTCCCTAGACCAGTGATCTATTTTTATTGTTTCTATATGTTTCTATTTTCATATTTTCGTATACTTACTCATTTAATGTCTACTACATGATTGGACAGAAAGAAGTCTTAAGATTTTCCTGTGCAGAATTATGAGGCAATGCTTGAATAAATCTATTTTTCAGAGGGATGGTGTTTCAGAGGATTACGACAAACATAATCCAGAACACAAGCAGATATATAAATTTATAAGGACTCTGTTTAATGCCGCTCAGCTTACTGCTGAATGTGCCATCATAACGTTGGTTTATCTTGAACGCCTACTTACTTATGCAGAAATAGACATAACACCAGCCAACTGGAAACGTATAGTACTGGGAGCTATTTTATTGGCGTCCAAAGTTTGGGACGATCAGGCGGTGTGGAATGTAGATTACTGTCAAATACTAAAAGACATCACAGTGGAAGATATGTAAGATATGTCTATTTTCAGTTATGTTTAGATTATTATACAATAGTTGCTATTTTGTGAAAATAATTATTGTAATTTTTTAAATTAGGAACGAATTAGAGAGACAGTTTCTGGAGATGCTGCAATTTAACATAAATGTTCCTTCGAGTGTGTATGCCAAATATTATTTCGATCTTCGTACACTCGCGGAAGCGAACGAATTAACATTCCCTAGCGAACCACTTAGTAAAGAAAAGGCGCAGAAGTTGGAAGCTATGTCCAGAGTTTACGAAGATAAGGTCACGGCCGAAGCTCTACGTACCGGTATTAAAAAGTGGTCCAGCTTAGACAATGTATGCATAGGCGGACCTAGACGTAGCATTGCTATTTTATCCTAAACATATGTATGGATATAAACGGATGTAAACACAGACGCAAGGTTACTGCTCCGATTTTAAATGGAGGTATGTGAAATTTTGTAAAGATATCATTGTTACCGATCGATTTTAATGATTTTTGAAAGAGATTGTTTGGATTCTACCAAACATTTGTGTTACACTTCTGTTTAATTATTGTGGAATATTTGATGTATATATACATCTCTTGGCAAACTGTTTTTATTGTCTATTAGATGTAAAAATATCGTATGTATACCGTATATACGGCTAAGATGTACCATAATGGAAGAATTTCCATTGCAAGTATGGTTTGCAATAACAATCTTAAACTTAATCGTTATAAATATTATATTTTAAAATTTAGACGGTTCTCAATTCATTACAATTTTCAATAATATATAATTTACATTATTTTCGTTGTATGCATTAAAAAATCGTAAATCCGATAGAGAAATTTTATATTGGTCTTTTTTCTAGAGAGAGAGATATAATTTCTAATCACTTCTATTAATTTTGTTATACTTAATTTTTTGTTATACTTAATTATGAAAAACTATAAATATTAATCTTATTAATTTGTCAATAAATATCAATATATTTCTGTTGATTGTGTGCAAAGATTCTACTGTCTGGGACCTTATAATGTGGATGTAACAAAGCATACGAGAATGCAAGGTATATTGAAACAAAGGGTGAGAAAGAAAAAGTTTTAGTCGTAGCATTATCTGTACTGTCCTTACGGGAGAAAATAACTTGTGATATATATTAGTCAACTATTCATTATCCAAAGCATTTTATATATTGACTGAATTTAATAAGAATCAAAGTTATGGCTGATTTACTAATAACATTCTAAAAAACGAAAATCTATACATGCTTCAAATTAAAAATCGATATTTGTTAGTAACGCTACGTAATTTATCGAGATAATCCAATCCGAAATTTATAAATCAAAGTTGTAATACATGTCACCTTGATATATACGTCCAATTTATTTTTAAATATATTAATATATTTCTTTGATTTGCCTATCTTCTCACTGTCATGTACATCGAAGAATTATTATGAGAAAAAAGTTATTTAGGATTTAGAAAATAAATCATACATTTTTTTATATACGAGATCTGTTCTTTATCGATAATCTCTTTGAAATAGTGCACACCGCTGCAATAAATTAAAGTGAAACAAATATAGTTTGTTCATTTCAATTTATTACACCTGCTATTAGAAAGTTCTTCAATAAAGAACGAGCTTATAATATTTATAATGTACTTTCTTTTGATACATTTCTGTAATATTAGTAGAAAAACCGTTCATTGGTTTTTATTTGATTTAAAGTTATTATTATTATTAGAATTTTTTAATCAACAAATGTACAGCATAACAATTTATTAAAAAAATTTTTGACGCTTAATTCAATATATCGGATTTGATATAGATGATTTATGTAATTTGAATAATAGTACATAGCAAGAACACCATTTACAATATTATTATAATAGCGTAAATATTAGCAAATCAGCCTTTATAGCTTATTAATGAAGAGCACGATAAATTAGAGTCTGAATAATTGCTTTTATATGGCGCTACTTCCATGGATTTATAACTTTAGATAATGCGCGAGATAAGAATAAGCCATGATATCAGGGTTGCATCTTTTCTCTCTTATAAAATTACTCAGTCTGGTGTAAGGTTATTCACATTATTAATAATAGAATTTCATTTTAATCAGTCTATTCTATGATTATTGGAAAGAAGATTAATTCGATATCAAATTCACGTTCTTTTTATAATGCAATACGCATTACTTTTAGATACTTTACAGAGAATATATTGAGTAAATTCATCAATCTTATTACGAAATCACAAAGATCACATTTTATAGCCATAAAATTGCTATAAAATATTTAAATCTCACAGCTATGTAAAGTATTCATTTCATAAAGCTTGCAATTAAATCTTCCAAAGATCATCCAGGAACATGATTACTAAGGAAAAAAAAGAACTTAGAAATTGTATCATATTCACATTTTACTATATGAGAAGGTGAAATTAAAATACCATTGTAATGTACTATTAATATAATCGTGTATCATACGTGCTACTAATTGACTTATGTACGATATAATTTAATATTTTGTACCTACCGGTTAGAACTTTAAATATAAGATAGTCTTATATATTGTATGACTGGTTACATCTATAAGAATTAAAGTGTAATCTGAAGTTCCGTTGGATTTTTAGAATGCCGTTGACGGAGGAAGAATAATTATGATTTATTATTATTTTTATATTTTATTACATGAAGTCAGAGTGTTGTAACGGTCGAATTTATAATAGAAAAACGGCTGTAAAGTCCAATGTACGTGGGAGGAAACGAGTAATGTGCGTTTATCAGCTTTTAACGTATTGTATAGAATATGCTGGATGATGAGTGTAATGTAACATATTTGCAATTTCTGTCCACATTATAATTTTTCATTTTGCCTGTCCGAAAAATAAAAATATATTTTTATTGCATTACTATATTATAGGTAACTACGTACATACACGTTATGTATGCTGCGGAAGTGTTTATACAACTTTACAGAGCAATTAATACATCATGCGATGCCAAAATGTTGTTAAAATTATAATGTATAGACAGTTGCATATACACACACATACACACACTCACATATGAAAAGAATATGTACTGCACTGCGGTTTCATTTTTATTACATTCTAATTTTCCGACAAAAACTAGATCTTTATAGAATTTTCACGCGCTATTTTTATAAATAGATATTCATTATAAAGACAATCTTCGAGTCTTATTGCGTCCTGTAAATAAATTGCCGAATTCGTGTAAGATTCGTAAATGTATGTATCATAAACCGTACCACTTTGTTAGTAGTTACCCGAGCACTGGAAAAAATAACATTTGCGCTTGAAGGTGATGTTTCATAGAGGGTCGCCTTTAAGTCTTCCATCCTAGCGTCTGTACAGATTCTCCTACAGTACTTTAACACCACGTAATAAATATTACGTTTAACATATTATGAGACCGATGCTTTTATAATATGAATTTGTGATAAATAGATATACCAATACATTATATCGTTTTGTACATATATATATATATATATATATATATATATATATATACATAAAATATATGGCTGCATCTATTTTCATTGTAAAATTGTCCAATTACAGAGGCAGATATTAAGACTATGAAATTTATACTCTATCGCATCTTTCACATTTACTAAAAAAAGGCAGATAATTAGAAGTCTTTCTTTTTCCTACACTTGCCTGATACAAAAAAAATGGATGCTTCCGCTTGAATACACATAGCACTTTCATATAATTATCGAATACAAATGGCATTTCTTGAAAACGTAAAACATAAATTGTTTGCCTTTTTTATCATAGTTTTCCTTTTAACGTTGTACCTTATTCTTATTTGCGCGATTGGAAGCATAGAAAACGGTGTGTGCGCGCGTACATATGATAGTTAAGATGTATAAAACATATGATTTTTTTTTGCAAAGAAATTATTATTGATAATGATTATACACAGAAATACAATGTTATTCAACTATGTATACAATAGTTGTACCGAAACCCGATGACTGTATACACAAGCGGAGTCATTCTCATCTTTCCGAAAAGCGCCAAATTTCTAAAAGACACGCAATATTTCTTACAAAAATAAAATTGTGCCTGAAATAATTTATTTAACCAATATGTATATTTGCATTTGTATATTATATCCTATGCCAAAACTTTTAACATATATGTATAGATGTATAAAACGAATATACATGAAATTTTAATAAACAATTTCATCTCGTAATACAAAAGTAAAACGAACAAAACCTATTCTCAAAAAGAGAACAAACAAAGAGACAAACCTAATCTCGTCTCAAAAAATTACATTTTTATTAAAAATTACTCTTTCCAGTTAACAAAGTATATCAACAAATATATAAAAATCCACCAAACGACAGTATTGCAAAGAGATGGCATGACAAATTTCTCTATTCCTTATGATTAAGATAATAAAAATGGGAATTACGTTCTGAATGATTTATTTGATGGCATTAACATCCATTCGATCAGTAAATACATATTAATATTATATAACGACCCAATTCCCCACATTTTCATATTATACATATATATGTATGTATGTATGTATATATATATATATATATAATGACAGTCATATCAATACAAATTCAGTCTAATAAAAACTATGCGAAGAGAGTACTTTTTAAATTATAGGAATATAAAAACTACATAAACTATACAATAGTAAATAATTGATAGAACATATATTATTTTATATCTATACATTTTACATTTCTTTGCGAATTCATTTTACGCTTCTTTGCGAAACATAAAAAAATGATAGCACAATATTGAAAAGAATAAAAATACAAATTTAGTCCGTAGCAGTCTCATGCTATTTATCACTGTCATACACTCTGCCGAGATTGATAATCAATTGCGATAAAAACTTATTACCACACGGCGTATGTTGGCATATTCTTCCTTACAATCTATCAAAAAGAAATTCATTTAGGGGGCGAACCGCGATACTGTATTACGTCTTACGTGTATGACACATTCATTGTAAGCATTATAATACGAAGAAAATGTTTACTTCCATCTTCGTTTACTACGGGCGTAGAATCACTGCAGGATATTTAATTGTCCAGTGTTTGTTGCATAAACCATCCCTTGGCCCGGCTGCGGCGCCCATCTAATGCAATTTAGACTGAGATAACTGGAGACCTCCCGGCAGTTTTGAAACAACTCCCGGATAAGCACCATACTTTCCCTGTGACGTTTGATATCCATATCAAACTCGTTTCTCTCCCGAATCCGCCAATTTTGGATGTGCGGTGATCTAGAAGTGTTGGCTGTAACATTATTTCGTCTCGAAATACTACTCGTAGAAACGTTATCATCGAGCATCTCGTCGAAGGAATCGTACAATTCCATGGTCGGATCTGTCGACGAAACATTCTTTTCGTCGTCTGACTGCTTCTCCATCAATTTGTAAATCAAAGCCATTGGAAAAGGCCTGGCAGGCACATGAATTCTGCGTGCCAAACCTACCAAAAGATGTTGTTGTGTGGGCGATATCGAGACAGACACCACCGTTTGATCGATATTGGTCGAATGAATCTTTTCTCCTAGTGTTTCCCACTGTAGGCTGTAAATACCTAGAACAAAACAGCAAGCCTTATTTTTAGCAAGCCTTATCTAGCTTTAATCCTTCGATAATATAACTGAGCTATTTTATTTCCTGTATAAATAATGAAAAAATGACACAACAATGCGCGGAGAAAAGTGATACGTTTGTAGTATTTGTTATACTGTTTTAATAATGTTACCTCTTATGAAGAAATTATCGTTTAAAAATAACTTCCTGTAAGATTATTCGTGTGAAAAAGATGCGATACAAAAATAAGAAATTATCCCTTCAAGATAAAAAAAAAGCATTAAATACACGTGCGTTGAGAAAGAATCCTTATTATTTTAAGAATATACATACACATACACGCGCGCGCACGTGTATGTGTATGTATATGTATGTATATTTCATCGATAATGGAGATCAATATGCATTCTTTGCTTACCTAATGTGGTCGTAACATTAATACGACCTGATTGTAAAAGCGTCGCTAGTAATTTTCCGTCTGTGGATATATCAATACTAGCATCGTTATGAATCTTACATTCGCGTACCACAACGTTTTTCTCAGCTGAAAAATTATATTGGCATGTATAAACATATGCAGAAAAAGCGTATAATTATGATGAATCTATATTTAACATTTTTTTTACTAACAATCTGTAATATCAGGTATGTCACCATTGGAGAAGTCCCATGCTTGTACACGATAAGTCTGAATTTCGAATGCTGGGTTGAATGGTATACCCATAGGTATATGTTCTAAAGAAATTATTTGATTTTTATATCTTCACACATTACAATTATATATACATGTATACTAAAAAATAAGTCTTTAAACAATATTATATAAAGAGTGATCGGTTATTGATAATAATATATGATGCATGAGCGTATGAGATTTTATTTTGAGAAAATCGATTTTAAAAGTCGCAACGTTAATAATGTAATTTCATTTCGAAATTTGCATAATTTGCACTAGTTTAATGTTATCAAAATAAAAATTCAACATTTCAAAAACAATAAGAAGCATTTGAGATTGTTAAACAATTATCATTAATCTTATTCATAAAGTAAGATAATAAATTTGTATTTTTTTATAAACTAAATATTATATTTTTGTTTATACTTTAATAGTTACTTTTCAAACGAATTAATCAATTTTTTATTAGTATTACTTTCTTTCTGAATGTATCACCAATAAGAGATCATTCTATATCGTGATACATACATCTGCAAATTTAAAAAAATATATATACCAAAGTCCCAATAATAATCGTTTTCATCATTTCCTGGATCTTCTCCTCCTCCTCCCCCTCCCCCACCACCTCCTCCTCCTCCTTCACCTCCTCCTCCTCCTCCTGCTCCTCCTCCTCCTCCTGTTCCACCACTTCCTCCTGCACCTCTTCCTCCACTTCTTCCTCCTCCACCATCATCACCACCGCTACCACCATTACTAGAATTAGCAGCACTTCCAATTCGTACATTATGCACTAATCCTGAATTATTTACAAACTCAGTGTAGCGAGGTATCCAAGTGGGACCAACCCGATTGCGCCACAACGTTAAGAACGTTGGAGTCAATACCTGATACAAAAGTTAATAATGATTAAAAAGCTTATTTAGTTTTTAAAGAAGCGGAAATCATATCTATTATTTATCCAAAAATCGACAAAATAACAATTCATAAATTAATGTCAAAAATTATTTGTGGATCATAAATTTTTATAAAAATTAAGTTATCAAAAATACACGGAATTATAATTACTTGTCAAGTAACGCTTGAATTTAAAATCGCAAATGTTTCAAAATTTATACTATACCCGAGTTCTATTATTATTTGATTGTCCAGCCCAACTGGGTCCTGGCTGATCTGTCGACTCGTTTGTCCGATCGTTGTTTCTGTTATCAGTATTATGGAGAATATTATTAATCAAATACGGCGGAGGGGTATGCGGCGGAGTCGGCGGCGTATTTTGCCTTCTTCGTGGATTACTAGACAGATTATCTAGGTCATTCACGGGCACGTTGTTTACCTGTAGCTCGGGAACGTTAAATTCTCGTCGAAGAGATGTGCCCTCTCTATTTTGAGGATATCTACGATTGTTATTCGAATCGGAGTTGCCATATCTGTGCAAGTGTAAAGGACGTTCAAGCAATGACGTGCATGCACCCCGTGCGTATTGACGAGTCCAACGAGGTCGCTGTTGCGATGATCTGGCGCTTTGTTCATCTCCCGATGAAGTGTAAACAAGGCAATTTCTCCAGCTCTCGTTGGAATGCGTAGTAGAGTCGGTCTCCTGCTGATCCCTTGACTCGTTGATGCGTCTAACCGCCGGCTCGGAAACTGTAGCGTTTCTGTAACTCCGCCGATAGCTCTCATTTGAATTTCGCGACTCATTTGCAGCATCCATTGTACGATTCTCAACTCCTACCCTGGTCTCGCTACGGTCATCGTTGTCGATTGAACTGCTGCTTTGGATTCTTTCCACAATACTCTGCACTTCCGCCGACAGAGCGTTTTCAGAATTTGACTGTCGATTATCTTCATTTTGCGTATTATCATCATAATTGTTATCGTCGCCGTTATCGCTAGATCTAGCTGCTGCTGGATTGTTGGCTTGATTTCCGGAAAAGCCATTAATTATTTGAATTGCTCGTCGATGGCAAGATAGCCGTTTTAATCGTCGCGCCATAACGCGATAACGTATGTTATTCCCATGAACTGAAAGGAACTCCTCCGCACTTGGCATTTCAGCGCGGTTTCTCGGTAACCTTTCTCTATCTGCGTTTCGTCTTGGTACGTTATCGCTAGCACGACGCGGACTTTCCGTCTGCAGACTATTGTCAACACTATTACTATTGCGCGTGTCACCCCTGTTTTGATTGTTAATTGATAAATCGGAAGGAAAAGGTCCATATTGACTAGATTCCAACTCTCGCCTTGTTATTACTAGCTGCGCCAGCAATAAATCTGTTAGCTCAAGTGCCAGATGTAACAATACATACAGCTCTGAGGAAAAAAAATATAAATTGATATAAATCAATAATCCAAGAGATGCACAATCTAGAGAACGTGAAAGAAAACAGAATTATTTCATAATTTTACGTGTGAGAAAATTAAATTTGAAAATTTCAGATATTTTTTTACTTTATACTCTCAAAAATGACATTAACTTTTCAGTATTCGAAATTAATAATCTTGTGTGCGCGCGCGCGCGCACATGTGTGTGTGTGTGTGTGTGTGTGTGAAAACGAAACTTTATATAAAAGTTTTACCTTTTACATTTTGGATTTATTTTTTTCGTATAGAGAATATCATCTTTCAAATTATATTACATTTTATTAATTTACATAATAAACAGTAAACTTGCATTTCTAAAAACATTCCTAAACTGGCATTCCAAGAATGGATTTGGACACGGAGGAAACCCGCGAAACGCATAATCTTTATATTTAAACAGTAAACTTACTATACATTTGCTCATAGAGAACATTGCTTTGGGAACCGTTTCCTGATCTTGTTACTTCAAAGAATTGG